CGTCTCCTCCTTGTCTGAACTCGCCACAATATATTAAGTAATCCAAAGTATTCAGAATACGTTACTGTCATTGAGTAACGTAACGGAATACGTTACAGAATACATTTTGGGGCATGTATTCTGTATTCTGTAATGGAATACATTTTAAAAGTAACCTTCCCAACACTGCGTACAGGTGCGTCCGCCTTCCCTGCACGGTACCGCAGGCCATGCCCGACACAATTGCCCTTTACATGTTATCACATTTGTAAGGAAAATGCATTTGTTGGTTGAGCAACAGAGTTGAGTCGATGAGTTGTACCCATGAAAAACTTGCTAAATCTTCTCTGTCAATGCCAAACAACTTATTCTGATGTAGATGCTTGTTTGGTGTCATTTATTGGATGTCTGGATGATTGAAAGCTGATGAAACAGAGTGGCAGTTTAACAGCTTACTCATTTAATAAAGAGGGGCCTCAGTAACATGTGGAAGAACCACTAAATGCCCACAACAGCCTGGCGCCTCCTCTGCATGCTGGTCACACATTGCTGTGCGGTGGCATTACATTCTTCAACCAGCATTTGTTGATGTGGTTGTGTTGGTCACACAATAAGCTGTTTGGCATTGGCAGAGAAGATCTAGCATGTTTTTTAATGGGTACCACTCATCGACTCAACTCTGCTGCTCAACATACTAAAACATTTTCCTTACAAATGTGGCAAAATTTAAGGGGAAATAAACTGGCCTTTTATCTGTTAGTATGAAACGTCAGTACCAGCTGGCCTCTCTCATCCTGCCCATCCTGCTTTGCCACATCAAGACTCATAAATAAACACAATAACTCCTAAAAGTTTTAAATCACACACTGTCTCTGACCCTGGAAATACACCAACCTGCTGTTCGCACTCCTAAATGAAATGCTGCAGAGCTAATGAAGGTATTTAAGACAAACTGCCAAGAACCCCGCGTTTCACTTATAAATGTCACCAGCTGCAAATTATATCATTTACAGCTAATTACCATGAAGTCTGTAAATAATAAGCCAGCATTGTTATTTGGCTATTTTGTTTTTTTGGGGGTTTTTTGTGGCTAGCTCGCTTCACTTTTTAACACCATTCCAAGAACACGAGGAGCACACTTTGTGCTTTTGTAATTTAGCAACACTAGCGTAGTCACATTCATTTCAAATATTCCATGCATATCGTATCATTTTAAATCACACAAAAGTTCTGATGTGGGACATCTGTTGTTTTGAGCAAGTGGCACAGAAACTCAAAGGTGTGAAAAAGCTTTCTCGATAAGTAATGCTACGGCTTTTATTTCTCGTGATGTCAGGTATATTTTTAATAAGCCGCTGCTACCTTATGCTGGTTGTCTCATTTTCAGGTTACACTGTAGCAAAAGGCTGTGCATAATAATTAGGCTGACACCTACAACTTTAGTGTTTCTAAGACAACAAAAGCTTATTTCATGGATCTCCCCATACTTTTTTTTAAACTACAAATGTGAAAGCTCATCCAAAATGGATATGATTAACTGGAAGCATTCAGATCTGACATGCATTACAACCACGTGAAATGAGTCTATTTATTTCCGCCTGATAAATGGGTGCACAATACTATTAATGCCGTTAACCCAGGAGTCACTCCTACTGG